AGGAATAGTAGTAGTAGGAATAGTAGTAGTAGGAATAGTAGTAGTAGAAATAGTAGTAGTAGGAATAGTACTAGTAGCAATAGTGCTAGTGCTAGTAGTCGTTTTTTCCTCGTCTTTTTTTTGCTGAATTGCCTCTGCCACTTCGACATTTTCCGTTCTCTGCTGCTTTATCTTCGAGGATATGCGTCTTCTCGGCGACCTCACTCGGGAACTCTTCCTTCTCGGACCAGATTTCCGTTCTCCGCTATTCTTGGCACCCTTTCGCTTCGTCGTCTCGCGCGGAACTACCAGTTGTCTTTCTTCGCCGGCGACGGAGTTCGATCGCTTCTCCGATTCATTTTTTATCAGGTATCCCGCGATTTGTCCTCTGTGCGCAACTTTCTCGTTGGTCTTCGATGCGTCGTGCGTGCCAGAGTTCGTTTCCTTCTCGATGTTAATCTCGATAGGTGCGTCAGTCTTCGCGGATGTGGCTTTCACTTTGGAATCATTATCGGAATCGAGTATTATTACGTCTATAACGTCTCCTCGAGATTCGTTTTTTCGAGGACGAGCAGTAGTAGATTCAGCGTAAAATTCAAATTCAAATCCTGATGTATTCTTAACGTGCTTTCTCTTATCAAGCGATTTATTAGTATTAACTTTGACACTTGAAGATGAATCTTTGTGACCTGTTTCCTCATCCTCTTCGTCCTCATTTCTATCCGTCCTTTTATTTAGATCCAAGTGTTTCGAAGCTTCTGTCTTCAAGTCTTCTAAATAATCTACTTTTTTTATTATATTGTCTTTCGCCTGCTTTACAGGTGCCGTATCGAAAGTTTCGCTATTTATCTCAACACGTTCGGTATTATTTTTAATTTCTCCAGCATCATTACGAGAGGAATCTTCGTTCGCTTCGTCGCTAAATAAAATATCCCTAAATTTTAGCAGACTCTCTTTAAGAATCCGGAAATCGACGTTAACCCGAGCACGCGCGCTTTCTTTGTTCTTCGCGTTATCTTCATCTTGACGACTGTCCGCTCCGTAAATGAAATGATACGGTTGCTCAAGCGATCGTTTCCCGCGCGAGAATCTCATTCTCTCTATCGCGTACTGGCGATTTTTGCGAATTTTCGGGACGTCGCGATAAAAGGGATCGAAGGACTCGTCGCCCTCCTTGTAATCGTCGTAGCTGGCCGGTATAGTCGGCAACGGCAACGTCACCAACTGCGTGGTGTTTAGGGGTCTGCCGGACTCATCGCTCACGCTCGCCTTCGCCGTGACGATCACCCGGGATTGCGAGGGCAGCAGAGGCGACGGATTCTGCACGAGTCTCTGGATATCCGACGGCGGCAGACTTATGGTGATCTGATGATGAGGCTTGAGCTGCGGCAATCTCTCGTCCGGCGACACGTGAATGTGTTGAGTAACCTGACGAGTGACAGACTGCGACGACTGCGGGGGCTTCGGCGAAGGCCTCGGCGTCGGATAGAATGATCTGACGGTCGTCTCAGTGGCCGGTGTCGGCAGAAAGTTGCCGGATATCCTCTGCTGCTGCTGCTGATGTTGCGACGTCTGACTTGTCTTCGTCTGCACTGTTCGGGACGACTCTTGCGGGCTTGGCACCGGAGATATCGCCAGCTTAGAAATCTAATATCACAGATAAAGAAACGTGAGAGAGATTTTAAAATATATATTTGTATTAAAGTTAATTCTGTCTGAATTTAAACCGCAGACTAAATATCGAAATAATTTTTAGCGATTGCTGTACCATTTTTATTATCAAATTTTACGCGGTTAAACATGAAATATCTTGTACGTACCTTGCCCTTGTTTGCCGACTGTATCGCCTCCAGTGCCCTTATATCCTGCTCCTGATCGTCGTCATCGCGATAGTCGGTGGTCTCGCGCGGATTGTTGCTGTGGACGGTGAACTCGCGTTCGGTGGTGCTCGCGATCCCGTGATTGTGAAATATGGGGTTGATCAAGGCCGCCGGGCTGTTTGCGTTGCTGTTAAGCAGCGTCTGTATCGTGGAGGACGTCGCGTGGTACAGCGGCGTCACGGTCGACGGTTCGCTGTGAATAATCTGCGGCGGCGGGCCCACCGTCGAGCTGTACCTGATCTGGTGGATTTGCGGGGGCGGCGGGGGTGGCGCCGGCGGCACGGTCGTCGAGCTTACGCCGCCCTGATTGCTGAACAATTGGTAGGACGTGGCCTGATTGCTGGTGCGCTCGCCGCCGTTGTGGAAGATGTACTGGTGATGATAGCCGCCGTTCTTATCGTCGTACAGCGACTTGGACTGGCTCGTGTGCACCTGCGGGAACGGCGGCTGCGGTTGATAATGCTGCGGATAGCCGGACGGATGCTGGAAGGAACCGCTAGCGGCCGTGGTGGACGGTTTGCTGGGCCGGGACGTAGTCGTGCTGGTCGTGCTCGTCGTGCTGGGTCGCGCCGAGGTAGTTCGCGACTGGTGATCCTCCACCGGGTCAATCGTCAGATCGTCCTCGTCGTCGCCGGTCTCGTGTAAGCTGTAAACAATGAAGAAAACGGACGTGCGGCGTTAAAGAAGGTAGATCGATCGATGATGAATCACGATATTGTTTCGCAGACGCGTGACTTCTCTCGGTAACGCTTTTGCACGAGTTTACGAAATTGGATATTACGTTACATGGAACATGCATCACTGTCCGGTGATTTATAGGCTACGATCTTGATGTCTGCCTCTTGATACGGGTGAGCGAGTATCTTCTTTATCTATTCATCGTGTCGCGTGACGTGATAAATTCTTGGGAAGAAAATTGTCGTCGTTAGCGGGTGCTCGAGTGTCGCGACGATGCATTCCTGCGCGTCAGTGGTTCGCGAGATTACGCTGACGGATGATAATAACGCGTGAGGTGCAAGACAGATGGGGAGAGGTCGGGGTGTTAGTTCCCGAGGGTAAAATGAGCGGCGCGGGAACGAGATTTATTGCCGATCGAAAATAAAAGTCGTCGAGAGAGGAGATGACTTAGCCGGGTTCGTCGGACATACAAATATGAAATGTATATAAATTTCGCTGGTCATGACAGTTAACCGTTATAATTTTTATCTGCATACACCCGTGGCTGTGAGAGGAGGACGCCGGCATTCCTGGGGATACCAAGCGGAGGAAAGCCGTTGAAATATTTATGGGTATATACGTACGTATAATACATACGTGCCTTTTACGTTACGACGATTTCGAGACGCTGAATCTCCCCGAGGTGTACGTTTGCACGTAAAAAATACGCATGGCACGCATCGCATAAGCGTACGAGTTTGTGAATGCGAGTCTGAGATACCGCGCCGTTTCATTTTCGCCTCGCGAACATTACACGATCATATTTCTGGGAGCGTTGCTTTGGACATTGCGCAAACGGAACGAAGCGGGAAAAATGTAGCAATCCGCGAAATGCCAGTGAGAATTTCTGAAATGCGGCGATTCGATATTACCTCGTGTACGGGGTGTTCCGCTCGCTTTAGTAAACGTTAACTTTTGATAGTAAACTTTTATCAAGTATACTTAGAATTCGGAAATTTTTTTTTATTAACTATAACAATGATTAGTAATCTTATTATTTTGATCGTTACATCAAAATTAAATTTTTTAGAAAACCGAACATTTATTCGAGTTAGAGAGCCAAAGGCAAAAAAATTTCGTTATTTATTTACATTCTACGTTTCTAAATTTCCAATAATTTCTATCGATATTGTCATTATTCGTGTCCACACGAAATTTTATACAAACCGAAGATAAATTACGTGAAATAGAAGAGGTATGTTCGGTATGTCTTCGGTCCTTACGAAACGTAAAGTGAACGTCCGAGTCTGCCGAGAATTGCGAGCGTATTCGACACCTTGTATATGACCGGCGAAGCAATCAGAGTGTGCAACAACTTCTTTCATTCGATAGCCAGTTTCTGCTCGCAGCGATTTGCATCAATGTGAAACCGGAAAATAGATTAGCGTTCGACTCGCCGTGTCATTAATGAAATTTCCAGAAAGTCAGAATTATCATTAACCCTTTGACAAGCCATTTTCTTACTCCGTTACAGCACCGTGTAAATCGCCACCTTCTGGGCCGACAAACACAAAAAAGAAAACTAGATTTTATAGTCACGCTATTAAATACAGCAAAATAAGGCGCGGTTTGCGTCCTTATAGAATTACCTGAGCGTCACAGCGTTATTGCCGTAGAGTTCCAGATTCAGATTGTAGAATCGCTCGCTCTTGCTGCAGTCGACCTCGTCAACCCTCTCGCAGACTCTGGTCTCCTGGTCGAAGACGGTCCCGTTCAGACAGAGGAATTTTATGTCCATAATCTCGTCTGAAATCAGGTCTCACGGTGAAGAAGAGGGTCATTAATCGGGGATGCTCTAGAATCTCGGGGCGTGCTCGTTCTTAAAGATCTTGTTGATGTGGCTTTAGTGCGACCCTGACTTCGAATTCGACTATCATCAGTCGAGTTTCACGATATTAACGTTACTTAATTTAAAAAATCACGAACAAATTAACTATAAATTGCATATATTTTATTTATGTATATTTTATTTATGTTTCAAGTTGAGATCACTCGCATCTTTACCGAGAGAATGATTTACCTTCACGAGAGACGCTTTTTGCATATTTCGGAAATATTCGTACTCTATATTCTACATAACTCCCGGAGAGACCTACACGCGTCTTGTCCACTTCGATTCGATCCATAAGTCCATAAAGTCGATTTTATACGGGAGATTATGCAAATCGTTTTATATGTCAAGCGTTCACGCGACGAAAGAGTCGGAGCTGGCCGTTTGGATCCGGGGCTGAAAACCGACGATTTGTCAGGCACGGACCCGGATTAGAAAAGAATCAGAAGTAGTAATTAATAGCGGCGCGAGTATATATAGGATCGGCATGTGTTATTTTGAAGGTAAGTAGATCATTTTATTAGAAAGTCAAAGGCTGCCCATTGGAGTTTTGTAATATCGATAGCTGGAGATCGCTCACGGCGAGAATGTCACGGTCGTCGAAGAACGTTTACTGACCTAAGCCGGAGAGTCTGCCTTTGACTCGTCACGAGGAGTCGGTCTCCCCGTCGTGCGCGAATTCGATCTTTAGAATTCGTCGATTAAAATTTCTGTTCATGACTTTCTTCCCGAAAAACACGCAGCGAAATGAAGCAACAAATGTTCTTTTTATAATTTTCTTTTGTAAATGCGTTAAAATACAAATGATTTAAGCCACAATTGGCGCGGTATTTGGGGATCCCGCCTTCATAATGCAGAACTACCTTTCTGGCCGATGGTGCAGACGTGAAACATTTGACAGCCCGCCTCGACGTCCGCGTAGTATCCGCCGATCACCTTTCCTTGACACGAGAAATTCGTCTCCGGCAGGTTGTCGAAGTCCAGATACTTAAAAATCAGAAATTGACGCTTCAGCGGAAAGAAAATTCGGCTACTATTCGCGGTGAGGTTTGTTTAAAAAGCGTTTAATTTATCCTTCAGAATTATTCAATCAACTTTGAGCACTTACGCCAGGTTCCCCCGCGCTGCATAACAAACGGCCATGACGAAAGTCGAGAATGGACACGAAAACTGAAAAAGAAAAGAAAACAAATGGGGCGTGAGACAACACAGAAATTATGATAAAGCAACGAAAAAGTTTGCAAGATTAGGGAGTAACTTGCGCGGTCCGAGATAAATCGTTTCTGTTTTTATATCTCTTGATGGGCGATCGAAAAAGGAAACAAACTCTAAAATCTGCTGGTGCGGCGTGACTCTCAGAAAATTGAACGCGTTCTTGAAATTTTTTCTAAAATGCAATCACGAATCTATTCTTGGTAAGCGCGTTTTCCTCGAGCTTGACTTTCGCTTGCGATATTTTTCTCGAGTCGCGCGTGCATCACGTTCGGATAGGCGCGTCGATGAGATAATACAGCAGTCATCTTTTGCCGAAAGTTAAAGGGAAAAAAATCTTGCGGTCGCCATCTCATTCGGCGCAATCGTGTAATTTACGCGAAGGTAATTTATGCAGTTTTGCAATCGGGCCCGGGGTCTCCGGGGACCCCGTAGTACCAGTTGCAGCTATAATTATGCACAACTATCGTCACGCACCGACGATAGGTTAATGCACCAGACTGCTCCATAAATTCGAGTTTGCTAGTTCGATTTGCTACCGTTATAAATACAACATAATACAGCGTAACTGCAATGTTACATAAACGCGGGCGAACTGAATAAAATGTCACTAAACCGGCGAAAGATTAAAGAGAGAAAAGACTGAACAAATGTCAATAAAATAGATCTAAAATTGGTTTAAGTGTGCAAGAGAAGGAGGTTGAGGAAAAAATTATTCATCCTTGGACAAAATAAGCATTTCCAATCAGCATTTATATCTGTCATAACAGCATGTATTTTTCGCCAAATAAAAGATGAGGCTTCGTGAAAAATCGGAAGATGCAATACAACGAAAAAGTAATGATAGTGGAGTAGGCAACTTTCACCTCACTTATCTAACACGTGCCAGACAGGTGTTAATTGTTACCGTCAGACTAAATTATATTCTTCGCTCTGGCTCTCTGTCTCGTAGTTCGTTGCGGCATGCTAATAGCCCTCTGGGTATTCAAATTGCAAGATCCATATTTTTTATCGATATCAAGATTTATGTAACGCGATTATAATTGATTTACGGCTTATCGTTTTAATGTCCCGTCGACACGTTGAAGCACGAAAGCAATATTTCAAGCACGGTAATAAATAAATAAATATGTCACGAGAAATTGTACAATTTTTATTTATACAATTTTATTTTATTCTCATAATAAAATTAATTGTTAAACATCTAAAATGCTCCATAAGCTCGTATTTCTAAACTTTTAAAATAGCGTTAATATCGTTGAGTTTATTGATAATATTGCAATAAGTCTGCTAATTATATTTCCGGCTGAGCGCTTTCAGCGCCCGCTTTCATCCGTTTCATTCCACAATTTGACCGTGAAGCGCTACCTTGCCAGCAATTGCACCTGCTGGATAATGCAATCGCGATACCTCGCAGCCGTTCCTGTAAAACGAAACGAGGCATTATCGTGTCCTACGGGCGACTTTTAATTCGCAACGCGCAAAGACGAACGCGGGCCTTTCACCGTGTGGCGCTCGTGTAAAATATATATTCCGCGTGTTCTCCTAGCGCGCGAGGCCGCGCTCGCTCTCGATATACAATTATGTAATTCGGATAAAAAGGCGAAGGGATAGGAAAGAAAAACACGTCGAAACGGCATGGCGTAAACCGGCGCGAAACAAAAAGCAGAAACGGTATACGTCGGATACGCCCGTCATCGGGCGTTTCGCCGATTATTTTTTTACATACGCTGACCTTTCGTTCGACACGACACGATGGCCCGGCCCGCGACGTCATGCGACATTAGTTTCCATCAGTTTCACCGCGGGCAACGTTGTTATTAATGTTGTATAGCTTTCTCGAGGTGAAAGAATATTCATCTTTGTCGATTTCGTTCGGATCAGGGGTACAGACGTGCCGCTTACATTAAACATGACTATACCACTCTCCTGTATCTTGTATTACGTTGAAATTGATTATTTAATAATTTCCACTCACGTATATTACAAGGAATAACATTTTTCTGTAATAACAGATACAAGTGGAAAATTATCTTTCTGTAGAGATATTTTTTGTTTATTATTTTACGTTATCCTGGTGGAAAGATTTCTCAGAATTTCTCATTTTATTAATCAGAATTTCTATGAAAATTTTCAGATTTTCTCAGAATGCTCAGAATTTTTCAGATATTTTTATATAAATTGGAACGTTTTTCAGAAATTTTAGTTTTATTAATACTTTGAAATACATATAATACATATGTATAAGATTAAAATTTTAAAAATAATTTTATGATTATGTAACATATTTGAATGCCCTACTACCTTCATAAGCTATGTTGAGGTATTCAAATACGTTATATGATCAAGGAATCTCTGTGCAATTTATCAGAAATTTTTATACATACGGATACTAAGATCTTCCTGAAAAATATCCTCATTCAATTATTTCTGAAGGTATCTGAACAATTTCATATATTCTTTCAGAATTTTTAATAAATCTCATTTCTTACAAAGTTTCTGAGAAGATACGAGAAATTTTTTTACCAGGATAGACCAAGTAGTTTATAGTTTCATAGCTTTGCGTTCATAAACTGCCCTTGAACTTGAACAGCGGTACTAATCCGACCACTGCGTGCAAACTGTACGTATTACAAAAGAAAAGGACCGATTAGGAAGGCGAAAGGGTTATATGGATCGAGTCACGTTGAGAGCGTCTCGTGTATAAGAGGTTAAAAAGGGAAAGGAGGAAGAAATGGAAAGCGCGGTCGCGGCACACGTCAGGATTCTACGGTAGAAACCGAAATTTCATAAATAATTCCTCGGGCATACCGCGCTCGGCCAACTGTGACGAAGTTCTTTGAAACTCCTTGGCGTTCCTCTCCGACTTCGTTCTGCACTGATCTAGTCGCGCTCTGGTCATGGACTTTTGCCTTCATTGATCGCGGACTCCCGTTCTTTGCCGCATGCAGGATCAAAGCGATCCTCCTCTTGTTCTATCTTGTCGGGCATCCGAAACATTCGAAAACGCAATCTGAGTTCAAATCGTTACGAACACGGTTTCGTAACCGCGCCAGAATGTTACGGACACGGATTTGTTGTTGAGGAACGTGCGGTGCTGGTATCAATTTAATCGAAAGTAACCATTTATTACGAGAGAATCCGGAAGAAGAAGAAAGAGGTCAAAAGCCAATCGATATTTTATTTTGATTTTATTTATACATTTTTATTTGATTTTATTTACATCCCTTTTAGTCTGCAGGAATCGTAGAGTGATATTACAAAGAATGTAATTGCAAATGAATATTCTATGTGCATGGGCATATTAATCTAGCTTTAAAGAGTCAGATATGCACAGTAAAAGTAATTTAAGATTCATGTATGCGGCGCGATACCTACTGCTTTAATTTGCCTTAATGAGCTTATAACTTATATATATACATATTTATGTTCTTAATCCTTAATTCTCAATTATTCTTATTTATGACTTACATATTTTATATAAAAGTCACTTCTAATTTTGTTTTCGCTGTTTTTTTATACGCAATGTAAAATATTACATCCGTCGAAAATTCGTTTGACATTTTGAAGTCCAAGAGGGAAGAGGACCTTTTAATCTCAGAAATTTTCTCAGAAATGCGAAATATCATCAGTCTATCGACAAACGCGGACTTCGCGCAGGCATTTTCAGATTCTTTCGCGCGGGGAAAAAAAAACACCGATCGCGGCGACATGTCTATTCCGCATCGCTGCGATCATCCCGATCATTAATCATCGTCGAGATTATTTCCTGACATCGCGGCCGCGTGGGGCACGCGCGTGCACGCTGCATCTCCGACGGCGACGGCGCCACGGCGACGTAACGCCGGGGGAGAAGCACGTGGCGCATCGTGCATTATAGTAATAATCAATCCGGCTTTCGTTCATTGCAATTTTCGCTTAATGACGCGCTCGCTTACGCGGGAAACGGGATTCCACCATCCGCCGAGCGTATCGCCGCTTCGCGTATATATCTATACACGTATAATGGTCCAGATGCACGTATACGGTTGCTCACTTCTTTTCTCACCATGCGCAACCGTATACAGGCGTATCCGAAGAAGCGTAGAAGCCAGTGATATAATCCCTTAGCGCGTAACACCTGTGTGAATCCCGTGACATTTAGAACTGCGAGCTTTAGCACCGGTTCGTCGCTCGTCTTCGCGCGCGATCTTCGATTTCGTCGATAAACTGTATCTTCCCCCGATATTATCCTAGCATTTGTTACCGCTGTCCACAGCATCCCGGTCGATCTCAATGAGTGGACCATTTCATAAGCGCGCGCGCGCGCGGGTCTCGCAGAGGGATGTGAAAGCGTGCGGATCCTCCCACGCGGCCGACCGTCCTCGGCACGAGGCAAAAGATCCTATCGATCTTTATGACGCTTTATTACCGAGCGATCAGGAAGACTTATATGTGTATAATTAGGTAATCTGTTAATTGGACTAGAATAGACGAGATAGCGATCGTTCGAAAGTTCTCCAGAGACAAACGATCGTTGGAGACGTAACGAGGAGGAATTAAATATGAGTATCTTTCTTCTATTAGCGAAGCTTATAATGTCAATCAGCAATACGACGAACCCCGTAAATAAATAACAGAACTGTATATTACTTCACGATTAATCAATTAGATATAAAAATGAAGCCTGAACAATAGTGACTGATTTGTTTTATTTCTGTCTAAAGGCAAATAAGAATAAGATATATTCATATTGTAAAAATATTGCTGGATAAATTTATTAGATTAACTAACAATAAGACATACGGTTTCAAGACACACCATTGCAAACGCCAATTACTGATTCGTTGTATTTCTGTTCAAAGGCGAACAAGAGAAATGCTGGTATTACGTTGTGTTCAAAAATATGGTTAGATAAATTCGCTAGATTAACTAAGGCGGACGGTATTTTTTTTCTTTTTTTTTTACATTGTTCCCGC